TATATACAGTATATACGAAATGTAGCTTAGTGGATAAGATGCTTGGCTTCCAATCCCAAGGTCCTTTGTTCTAATCCTGCAATGTTGATGGAGTGGAACTATAGCTTGGTGATTAAGATGCTTGCTTTCTAATCCCAGGGTCATGGGTTCAAATCCTGCAATGTTGATAAAGTGGAGCTGTAACATAGTGATTAAGATGCTTGCCTTCCATTGGACTGAAGACATCATAAAACAAAAATATTATGTGACAAAAACCTATGATTTGCCTATTTATGGGACAAATTTGTCACATAAAACTTCATTTCATATCTTACGAAAGATATAGACCCTAGGAAGGTGATAAATGTGACAGGTCATCATGGTTGGATTGCTGTAGCCTACGCACACTTTGTCTGTTGCTATCGCATCAAAGAGTCCAGTGGATGGCAGCTTGTATTTACGACTCCATATCTTGAACAATGTATCGAAAGACTCGCTCTCAACTCAAAGGTCGTTGGGGTCACACAGACAGATGGTCGTGATAAGATGCTTGCCGTTGCGTTTGGTAGTATGATTCGATTATGGTGCTGCCAAGATGATAGTTTACGGAACGAAATAGGTTTGTAAAATATTTAATTCAGAATTTGTTCTTGAGATATTTAAATCGGAAAATAATATCTATTAACTAAAGATATTAATAATATTTTGTAGAAGGTTAAAACACAACATATACAGGACTTAAAGTATTTAAAATAAGGAACGACTTTAATTAAATTATCCCGGTATGTCCATTTTTCGTAGAATCTTAGAATTCCCCCATTTCTGATTGTCGCCATATTCAAATTTACCGCTAATTGGAGAGCTCAATGAAAACACGTCTGTTCACCACGGAGTCACAGCCAATATCCTATAATAATAATAATAATAATAATAATAATAATAATAGTAGTAGTAATATTGAATAGAACATAGGTAATTCGATCTTTATCTTTAAGCAATTAAGATTTAGTCACAGTTGTGAGGCCTTTTATGGAAATGAATTTTGGAATTATGGAAAGTTCAACAAAATTGACCCTGTACAATGGTTTTAAAATCTCCTCCTGTTTGTTCCTGTCACAAGGTTACTAGAGGAAATCATTTTTGCAGAATACCATTTTTTTTATAATTCTATTTTGAGAATAAAAGTAAAATGTTATACAAATATTGATTGCTTATGTGGAGAATGGTGAAATCCATTACCCCGAGGTGATGAGGAGACTGTAGCCTATTGTCCGAGGGCCTTTGGCCCCAGGGAAGATGGGCTATGGACTCCATATCACTGAAGGCAGTCAATATTTGTTATTCTACGAGACCTAAAAAAGTAATGACAATATTCCACATTTCAAGCGCCCTGAGCATCTTACATTAGATGGATATGTGCGCTATATAAAACTACATTATTATTATTATTATTATAATAGTACACACAAGAAGGCCTAGGCTTACTTCGTTGGCCTAGGCGATCAAAAGACCAATCTCTGTCACTGAGTGTCGTAGGTTTGCGTGTTCTTTACCGTTCGCCCGTACCTTAACCAATCAGATTTCTAGAATTTATGTATGAGGTATATAAAAGAATATATAGTATGCCATTA